GTGATTAAAGAAGTGAAGCTGGGAGAACTGTGGGACATGGCCTCGGTGGTGGTGATCAAAGAAGTTAAGCTGGGAGTACTCTGCGAGGTGGTCTCAGTTATGGTGATGGAAGAAGTGAAGCTGGAAGTACTGTTTGGGGGGTCTCTGTGGTGGTGATCGAAGAAGAGAAGCTGGGAGTACTGTGTGAGGTGGTCTCAGTGGTGGTGATTGAAGTAGTGAAGCTGGGAGTACTGTGGAATGTGGTCTCACTGGTGGCAATTGAAGAAGTCAAGCTGCGAGTACTGTGTGAGGTGGTCTCGGTGGTGGCGATCAAAGAAGTGAAGCTGGGAGGGATTTGGGAGGTGGTCTTCGTGGTGGTGATTGAAGAAGTGAAGCCTGGATTGTTGGGAGATGTGGTATTGGTGTTGGTGATCGAAGAACTGAAGCTGGGAGTACTGTGAGATGTGGTCTCAGTGGTGGTGATCAAAGAAGTGAAGCTGGGAGTACTCTGGGATATAGTCTCGGTGGTGGTGATTGAAGCAGTTAAGCTGGGAGTACTGTGTGAGGTGGTCTCGGTTGTGGTGATAAAAGAATTGTAGCTGGGAGTGCTGCTTGAGGTGATCTCGGTGGTGGCGATTGAAGAAGTGAAGCTGGGAGTACTGTGTGAGGTGGTCTCCCTGGTGGTGATAGAAGAAGTGAAGCTGGGAGCACTGTGTGAGATGGTCTTGCTGGTGGTGATTGAAGAAGTGAAGCTGGGAGTACTGTGTGAGGGGGTCTCGCTGGTGGTGATTGAAGAAGTGAAGCTGGGAGTACTGTGTGAGGTCTCAGTGGCAGTAATTGAGGTAGTGAAGCAGGCAGTACTCTGTGAGGGGGTCTCAGTGGTGGTGATTGAGGTAGTGAAGCTGGGAATACTGTGTGAGGGAGTCTCGGTGGTGGTGATTGAAGAAGTGAAGCCGGGAGTACTATGGGATGTAATCTCCGTGGTGGTGATCAAAGAAGTGAAGCTGGGAGTACTGGGTGGGGTGGTCTCTGTGGTGATGATTGAAGAAGTGAAGCTGCGAGTATTGTGGGATGTGGTCTCAGTGGTGGTGATCGAAGGAGTGAAGCTGGGAGTACTGTGTGAGGTGGTCTTTGTGGTGGTGATCCAAGAAGCGAAGCTGGGAATGCTGTGGGATGTGGTCTCGGTGGTAGCGATTGAAGAAGTGAAGCTAAGAGTACTAAGAGAGGTAGTCTGTGTTGTGGTGATTAAAGAAGTGAAGCTGGGAATGCTGTGTGTGTGGGTGTTGGTGGTGGTGATTGAAGAAGTGAAGCTGGGAGTGCTTTGGGAGGTGGTTTTGGGGGTGGTGATTAAAGAAGTGAAGCTGGGAGAACTGTGGGACATGGCCTCGGTGGTGGTGATCAAAGAAGTTAAGCTGGGAGTACTCTGCGAGGTGGTCTCGGTTATGGTGATGGAAGAAGTGAAGCTGGAAGTACTGTTTGAGGGGGTCTCTGTGGTGGTGATCGAAGAAGAGAAGCTGGGAGTACTGTGTGAGGTGGTCTCGGTTGTGGTGATAAAAGAAGTGCATCTAGGAGTGCTGTTTGAGGTGGTCTCAGTGGTGGTGATTGAGGAAGGGAAACTTGGAGCACTGGGTGAGATATTCTCGGTGGTGGTGATTGAAGAAGTGAAAGTGAGAGTACTGGATGAGGTGGTCTCGGTGGTGGTGATTGAAGAAGTGAAGCTGGGAGTACTGTGTGAGGGGGTCTCACTGGTGCTGATTGAAGAAGTGAAGCTGGGAGTACTGTGTGAGGTGGTCTCAGTGGTGGTAATTGAGGTAGTGAAGCTGGGAGTACTCTGTGAGGGAGTCTCAGTGGTGGTGATTGAGGTAATGTAGCTGGGAGTACTGTGTAAGGGGGTCTCAGTGGTGGTGATCGAAGAAGTGAAACTGGGAGTACTGAGTACTGTGGGATGTGTTCTCCCTGGTGGTGATCAAAGAGATGAAGCTGGGAGTACTGGGTGGGGTGCTCGCGGTGGTGGTGATTGAAGAAGTGAAGCTGGGAGTGTGGTGGGATGTGGTCTCAGTGGTGGTGATCGAAGTGAACCTGGGAGTACTGTGTGAGGTGGTCTCTGTGGTGGTGATCGAAGAAGTGAATCTGGGAGAACTGTGGGAGGCAGTCTCGGTGGTGGTGATTGAAGAATTGAAGCTGGGAGTGCTGTGGGATGTGGTCTCAGTCGTGGTGATCAAAGAAGTGTAGCTGAGAGTACTCTCTGAGGTGGTGTCAGTTGTGGTGATTGAGGAAATGAAGCCGGAAATACTGTGTGAGGGGGTCTCGGTGGTGGTGATGGAAGAAGTGAAGCTGGGAGTATGGTGTGAGGTGGCCTCAGTTGTGGTGAAAAAAGAATGGTAGCTATGAGTGCTGTTTGAGGTGGTCTTGGTGGTGGTGATCGAAGAAGTGAAGCTGGGAGAACTGTGTGAGACAGTCTCGGTGGTGGTGATTGAAGAAGTGAAGCTGGGAGTGCTGTGGGATGTGGTCTCAGTGGTGGTGATCCAAGAAGTGAAGCTGGGAGTACTGTGTGAAGTGGACTCGATGGTGGTGATCAAAGAAGTGTAGCTGGAAGTACTGTCTGAGGTGGTCTCGGCTGTGGCGATTGAAGAGGTGAAGCCAGGAATACTATGGGGCGGGGTCTCGGTGGTGGTGGTGATGTAATAAGTGAAGCTGGGAGTACTGTGTGAGGTTGCCTCGGTTGTGGTGAAAAAAGAATTGTAGCAACGAGAGCTGTTTGAGGTGGTCTTGATGGCAGTGATTGAAGAAGTGAAGCTGGGAGTACTGGGTGAGCAGATATGGCTTCCGGTGACTGAAGAAATGAAGCTGGGAGTATTGTGAGATGTGGTCTCAGTGGTAGTGATCGAAGAAGTGAAGCTGGGAGTACTGTGTGAGGTTGCCACTGTCGTGGTGATTGAAGAAGTGAAGCTGGGAGAACTGTGTGAGGCAGTCTCAGTGGTGGTGATTGAAGAAGGGAAGCTGGGAGTGCTGTGGGATATGGTCTCAGTGGTGGTGATCGAAGAAGTGAAGCTTGGAGTGCTGTGGGATGTGGTCTCAGTGATAGTGATTGAAGAAGTGTAGCTGGGAGTACTGTGTGAGGTGGTCTCGGTTGTGGTTATTGAAGAAGTGAAGCTGGGAATACTGTGTGATGGGGTCTCGGTGGTGGTGATTGAAGAAGTGAAGCTGGGAGTACTGTGTGAGGAGGTCTCCCTGGTGTTGATCAAAGAAATGTAGCTGGGAATACTGTGTGATGTGGTCTCGGTGGTGGTGATTGAGGTTATGAAGCTCAGAGTACTATGTGAGGGGGTCTCGCTAGTGGTGATTGAGGTAGTGTAGCTGGGAGTACTGTGTGAGGTGGTCTCGGTGAAGGTGATTGAAGAAGTGAAGCTGGGACCACTGTGTGGCGGGATCCCAGGGGTGGTTATCAAAGAAGTGAAGCTAGAAGCACTGTGTGAGGGGGTCTCCATGGTGGTGATCAAAGAAGTGAAGCTGGGATTACTGTGTGAGGTGGTCTCTGTGGTGGTGATAGAAGTGAAGCTGGGAGTGCTGTGGGAGGTGTTCTCGTTGGTGGTGATCAAAGAAGTGAAGCTTGGAGTGCTGTGGGGTGGGGTCTTGGTGGTGGTGATCGTAGAGGTGAGGCTGGGAGTACTGGGTGGGGTGGTCTCAGTGGTGGTGATCGAAGTAATGAAGTTGGGAGTACTGGGTGAGGTGGCCTCAGCAGTGGTGATCGAAGAAGTGAAGCTGGGAGTACTGTGTAAAGTGGTCTCAGTGGTAGTAATTGAAGAAGTGTAGCTGGGAGTAGGATGTGAAGTGGTCTCAGTTGTGATTGAAGAAATGAAGCTGGGAATACTGTGTGAGGGAGTCTCAGTTGTGATCAAAGAAGTGAAGCTGGAAGTACTGTGTGAGGAGGTCTCGGTGGTGGTGATCGAAGAAGTGAAGCTGGGAATACTGTGTGAGGTGGTCTCGGTTGTGGTGATAAAAGAAGTATAGCTGGCAGTGCTGTTTGAGGTGGTCTCGGTGGTGGTGATTGATGAAGTGAAACTGGGAGTACTGTGTGAAGTGGTCTCGGTAGCGGTGATCGAAGAAGTGACGCTGGGAGTACTCTGTGAAGTGGTCTCGGTAGTGGTGATTGAAGAAGTGAAGCTGTGAGTACTGTGTGAGGGAGTCTCACTGGTGGTGTTCAAAGAAGTCAAGCTGGAAGTACTGTGTGAGGTGCTTTCGGTGGAGGTAGTTGAGGTGGTGAAGCTGGGAGTACTCTGTGAGGGGGTCTCAGTGGTGATGATTGAGGTAGTGTACCTGGGAGTACTGTGTGAGGTGGTCTCGGTGATCGTGATCGAAAAAGTGAAGCTTGGAGTACTGTGTGAGGGGGTCTCCGAGGTGGTTATCAAAGAAGTGAAGCTGGAAGTACCATGTGAGGGAGTCTCCATAGTGGTGATTGAAGAAGTGAAGCCGGGAGTACTGTGTGATGTGGTCTCAGTGGTGCCAATCAAAGAAGTGAAGCTGCGAGTACTGTGTGAGGTGGTCTCGGTGGCGGTGATCAAAGAAGTGAAACTGGGAGTACTGTGTGAGGTGGTCTCTGTGGTGGTGATCGAAGAAGTGAAGCTGGGAGTACTATGTGAGGTGGTCTCGGTTTTGGTGATCAAGGACGTGTACCTGGGAGTGCTGTGTGAGGTGGTGTCAGTGGTGGTGATTGAAGAAGTGAAGCTGGGAGTACTATGTGAGGTGGTCTGTGTGTTGGTGATTGAAGAACTGAAGCTGGGAGTACTGTGTGATGTGGTCTCGGTGATGGTGATGGAGGAAGTGAGGCTGGGAGTGCTGTGTGAGGGGGTCTCAGTGTCAGTGATGGAAGAAGTGAAGCTGGGAGTACTTTGGCATGTGGTCCCGTTGGTGGTGATCAAAGAAGTGAAGCTGGGAAAACTGTGTGGGTGGTCTCGGTGGTGGTGATCGAAGAAGTGAAACTCGGAGTATTGTGGGATGTCATCTCAGTGGTGCTGATCGAAGAAATGAAGCTTGGAGTGCTGTGGGATGCGGTCTCGGTAGTGTCGATCGAAGAAGTGAAGCTGAGAGTACTGTGGGATGTGGTCTCAGTGGTGATGATTGAAGAAGTGAAGCTGGGAGTACTGTGTGAGGTGGTCCCGGTTGTGGTGATTGAAGAAGTGAAGCTGGGAATACTGTGTGATGGGGTCTCGGTGGTGGTGATTGAAGAAGTGAAGCTGGGAGTACTGTGTGAGGAGGTCTCGCTGGTGGTGATCAAAGAAGTGTAGCTGGGAGTACCATGTGAAGTAGTCTCAGTGGTGGTGATTGAGATAGTGAAGCTGGGAGTACTGTGTAAGGTGGTCTCACTAGTGGTGATTGAGGTAGTATAGCTGGGAGTACTGTGTGAGGTGGTCTCGTTGATGGTGATTGAAGAAGTGAAGCTGAGAATACTGTGTGGTGGGGTCTCAGAGGTGGTTATCGAAGAAGTGAAGCTGGAAGTACTGTGTGTGGGGGTCTCCATGGTGGTGATTGAAGAAGTGAAGTTGGGAGTACTGTGTGAGGTGGTCTCTGTGGTGGTGATTGAAGAAGTAAAGCTGGGAGTACTGGGGAGGTGGTCTCAGTCGTGGCGATTGAAGAAGTGATGCTTGGAGTGCTGTGGGATGTGGTCTTGGTGGTCGTGATCGTAGAGGTGATGCTGGGAGTACTGGGTGGGGTGGTCTCAGTGGTGGTGATCGACGAAGTGAAGCTGGGAGTACTGTGAGAAGTGGTCTCTGTGGTGATGAGAGAAGAGGTGAAGCTGGGAGTGCTGTGGGAGGTGGTCTCATTGGTAGTGATCAATGAAGTGAAGTTGGGAGTGCTGTGGGATGTAGTCTCGGTGGTGGTGATCATAGAGGTGATGCTGAGAGTACTGGGTGGGGTGGTCTCTGTTGTTGTGATCAAAGAAATGAAGCTGGAAGTACTGTGTGAGGGGGTCTCGGTGGTGGTGATTGAAGAAGTGAAGCTGGGAATACTGTGTGAGGTGGTCTCGGTTGTGGTGATAAAAGAAGTGTAGCTGGCAGTGCTGTTTGAGGTGGTCTCGGTGGTGGTGATTGAAGAAGTGATGCTGGGAGTACTCTGTGAAGTGGTCTCAGTAGTGGTGATCAAAGAAGTGATGCTGGGAGTACTCTGTGAAGTGCTCTCAGTGATTGCGATCGAAGAAGTGTAGCTGGGTGAAATGTGTGAGGTGGTCTCGTTGGTGGTGATTGAAGAAGTGAAGCTGGGAGTACTGTGTGAGGGGGTCTCGCTGGTGGTGTTTAAAGAAGTGAAGCTGGGAGTACTCTGTGAGTGCGTCTCCGTGGTGCTAATCGAAGAAGTGAAGCTGGGAGTACTGTGTGAGGTGGTCTCAGTTGCGGTTATCGAGGAAGTGAAGCTGGAAGTACTGTGTGAGGAGGTCTCTGTGGTGGTGATCAAAGAAGTGAAGCTGGGAGTACTATGTGAGTTGGTCTCGGTTTTGGAGATCAAGGACGTGTACCTGGGAGTGCTGTATGAGGTGGTCTCGGTGGTGGTGATTGCAGAAGTGAAGCTGGGAGTACTGGGTGAGGTGGTGTCGGTGGTGGTGATTGAAGAAGTGGAGGTGGGAACACTGTGCGAAGTGGTCTCTGTGGTGATGATCGAAGAAGTAAAGCTGGGAGTACTGTGGGAGGTGGTCTCGGTCGTGGTGATTGAAGAAGTGTAGCTGGGTGTACCGTGTGAGGTGGTCTCGGTGGTGGTGATTGATGAAGTGAAGCTGGGAGTACTGTTTAATGTGGTCTCGGTGATGGTGATCAAAGAAGTGAAGCTCGGAGTACTGTGTGAGGAGGTCTCTGTGGTGGTGATTGAAGAAGTGAAGCTGGGAGTACTATGTGAGGTAGTCTCGGTTTTGGTGATCAAGGACGTGTACCTGGGAGTGCTGTGTGAGGTGGTCTCGGTGGTGGTGATTGAAGAAGTGAAGCTGGCAGTACTGGGTAGGGTGGTGTCGGTGGTGGTGATTGAAGAAGTGAAGCTGG